GAGAACAAGAGGAAGAACAAACGAGCAGCACTGAAAGCTCAAATGGATTTGGAGGAGGCCAGAAAGACTGCACAAGAGCAACAAAGGAACAACAATGCTTCAGTACAGGATCAAGAAGGTGAGTCTTTTGAATTTAAATATTAATAAAGAATATTAATAAAGAAGGTAAACCTGAAGATTTAAGATGATTTAAGATAATTCACAACTTCAAGATTCGTCTTATTGTTTTAGGAAATTTGACAAATTTGTTCTGAAATTAACAAACGTAAAAGTAAAAGTTGGGATGCTGTAAAATGGAAATTAAAAACAAATATTAATAGCACCATCAGTGCTATATTAATATCAAATACTGGATTTTTAAAAAAAATTATTTATTTATTTTTTTACCATTTGAGAAAAATATCAGCTTATTTTGAATTTGATGACAGCAACACGTCTCAAAAACCTTGGGGCAGGGCCACGTCCCCTCTTCTTTTAACAGCTGTCTGTTAATTTTGGAGAATTGATGAGAGAAGCTGCTGGGCTTTTGGCAGAGGAATGGATGCTAGCTGCTTAACAATCCTGGGTCCTGAAATGTCTTTAATGGGCAGAGGTCTGGACTGCAGGCAGAGCAGTTTAGCACCAGAATCTTCTACTATGAAACCATCCTCTCCTGATAGACTGTCATGCTGAAATATGCAAGGTTTTCCCTGTTGCTCTAAAACCTGTATGTACCTTTCAGGAATATGTAAGTTGGCATTTCCATAGGCAGCGATGCATCCTCATACCACCAGAGATGCAGGCTTTTGAACTCTTTAATGATTAGGGTCAGGGGTGATTCTAGGTTCAAACTTTTAGGGGGGCTCGGTTCCCAGTCATAATGTCCTGCATAGAGTGCCTTGTATTTAACATTAATGTAATATGCTGTTTACAAATATCGTCAACCCTTTTCACCTTTTCAACCCTAAGTTACCTAATTAGTTGGATTATCTATTGTAGTGTTTCAGAATGATTCAGAGTGAATAATCAGAGATTTCAGTCTAATCCACCCATTTTAAAATGAAGCCTTAAAGTGATCAAAGATGAAAAACATACACAACATTATGTCAGTCTCTAATTACATAGAGGCAGTCCACCAAATCATCAAGCACTTAAAGTAGCATTATTCAGTATAGACACTGGAAAATCACCCTGCCACTCCATAGACTTGTACATGAAGCAAACTGTAATAGTTGTTTTATATTAAAGTTTTTGAATTCATATAAATATTCCCTTTGTTATGCAATCTCAGCACAGAGCAACATGTACCCCAATTTCACGAGTGGATAACATATTTGTATTCCATCACATCAATGTAGTGGGAGTCATCCTGCCATGTTTAGAGTGGAGGTAATCCTGTGAAATGCTGCCATTCATACAAATATACTCTCTTTAGAATCTCTGTCTTGTCTCTCTGCTCTTTCCATCCTCTACACTTAACTAGAAAATAACAAAAATATAATCTCATAATAATTATTATAAGAGCAAGTAAGGGATCCACAATGGACAACAGGACAACACACAGCTGAGATAAATCTGGAACACAGAAGCAGTATTAGTCTTTGTAATATTAGCAGTAAAGGGTTACAGTGTGAACTGTCAAATGTTATTTTCCCCACTGGATTATACTCTGTGTTGATGGCGGATAGCAGTGTCATTGTTTTGTCCCCACACCTGAAATCATAGATTCCTCTTATTTTGATTGCAGATGATACAGATATCCATGTCAGCGGTCAGAACCCTCCTCCTGTTGGCGGCAGAGGACGCCAGATGCCGTCCAGCAGAGACCCTGGCTCAAGGACCTACAACCGTGGCAACCACGGGCCTTCTGGATACCTGCCTGGTTTTGCTCGGCAAACCGAGCCCAGGATGTACAGGGTGCCGAGCCTGCAGAGACACTGACACAACAACACAAAACAAATATGGGAAAATAAAGCACTTTACTGAGAAATTCATGCTGGACTGATAGTAGTTAGTGCACATTAATCGCCTCTGTCGCCTCTGTAAAGGGGAAAAAATACATTTTTTCCCCTTTACAGTCTGTGTATATGATGAAAAGATAGATGAACTGTACTGTCACTCCTTCGTTTACTAAATATATGTTAACAAATGCAGTGCTTTGTTTTCTTTTTAATTTTACATTACAGTTCTCATGCAGTCCTTGTCTTAAAGCTATTAACCAACTAAAAGCACCCTCTGGATCTGCAGACTTCCAACAAGGTCAACAGTCCACTTCTCTATGATCTGTAGAACCATGTTTTTAGCCTGGAAATTTCAAATACCGCAAATATCTGTATTTCATCTGTATTTCTAAGAATATAAACATCTGTATTTCCAAAGAATGGCTCCAGAGTCCAGTAACCTAGCTTTTTTTTTGATCGATCAAAACAAAACTGTACTTTCTGTGTTGCAGGTTAAGCC